CGTCGGCGTCGTCGTCGGTGTCGTCGTCGTCGTAGTCGTCGTTGTCGGCGAAGTCGAAGTCGTTGGAGACGTCGTCGGTGTCGACGTAGTCGTTGTCGGCGGCGTCGTCGTTGTCGCTGTCGTCGTCGGCGTCGCTGTCGCTGCCAAGTGCCACGTGGTACCCACCGTCACGGTCTTAAGAGATTTTACGAACCAAGTTGCGGGTGGGTGGGTGGGATGTTTGCGCGAGCAGTGGAGTGGACAATTCGTTTGTTAAAAGGCAATTGCACCACATAGGGTGTACCACATTGATTACACTGCATATATTGTATTACATTGGTTGCACCGCGTAGATTGCTCCACATATCTTGCACAGCGTAGATTGCATTATATAGGTTGCATCACATACATCCTCCTCTCTAAAAGAAATAGACTCTGCCCCCCCCCAGACTTATCGCCTCCCCCTGTGGTAGTATGGTTTCATATATTTTCTGCACACTCGTCCATCCTAAATACGAAATCATACCATCCCAGCCAGGCCCGGTTCCCCCCTCCTGAGGTTCCCTTGTACAAAAACACTATGCGGTGACATTTGTTGTTCTAACATAACACTTGTTCACAAATCCCTGGCAAAAAACAAGACGAAGTGCACACACGCGCGTCGCCGCGCGCGCATGCCAAAATCCTTCAAAAAACTTCGGTGCCAGAAGGATTTCGCAATCGAGTTTCCCAAAAAACATACAAACACACATGGTTTCGCAACACTGATTCGATTAAAAAAGCTTCCACGCGAGCTCTTGCGAAATCTTGAGAAAACCATAGGTTTTTCAAGATTTTCACAAACTGATACCAAACGGGCTTCGCGCGCGCGCGTGTCGAAATCTGTCGAACGCCCTTGCGCGTGTGCCGTCGCGAGAACCCTCTGCAAAAAAAGGGACGAAGTGCAGACGCGCGCGTCGTCGCGGGCGTATCCCGAAAACCTTCAAAACCCATCGGTTTCGGAAGGATTTCAAAATCGTGTGTCCAAAAAACATAGAAAAACCCAAGATTTCGCAACACTGAATTTCAACAAAAGCGTGCGCGCGCGCTCTTGCGTCGTCGTCGTCGCCGTCCTCCCTCCTCCCGCGTCGTCGTCGTCGTCGTCGCCTACGTCGTCCTCTGTCTTTTCTCCGTTTCGTCGTCGTCGTCCTCTTTGGCGTCGTGGTCGTTTCCGTCGTCGTTGTCGCCGTGGTCGTCCTTCCTCCTCCTCCCACGTCGTCGTCGTCGTCGTCCGTCGTCGGCGTCTCGTCGTCGTCCCTCCTATTTCGTCGTCGTCGTCGTCGTTGTCGTCGTCGTCTTCGTCCTCCCCTCCTCCCTCGTCGTTGTCGTCGTCGGCGTCGCCGTCCTTCCTCCTTCGTCGTCGTTCGCGTCGTCGCCGTCCTCCCTCCTCCCTCGTCGTTGTCGTCGTTGTCGTCGTTGTCGCCGTCGTCGTCCTTCCTCCTCCCTCGTCGTCGCCTTCGTTAGCGTCGTCGTCGTCGTCTTCGTCGTCGTCGTCGTCGGCGTCGTTGTCGTCGTCGAAGTCGTCGGAGACGTCGTCGGTGTCGTCCTAGTCGTTGTCGTCGGTGTCGTCGTAGTCGGTCTTAAGAGGTTTTGCAAACCAAGTTGCGGGTGGGTGGGTGGGATGTTTGCGCGAGCAGTGGAGATGACGACTTCAAGTTCAGCAGAGTGGATTGCACCACATAGATTGCACCGCATAGACTGCAATAATATACTGTTTGGGGCCCACGCTGGCTAACATTATTCTGTGTACTATTGTCATGTTCTTCCAAAATCCGCCTGTAGGAGGACATGCCCGACCCCCTATCACACCTCCTCATCCTCCCCACCAACCTCAATATCCTGGGCCCCGAACCGGCCTGGCCAGGATCGGTGTTGGCGCATGGTCGGCGTCCCGCGAGACATCCACAGACCGTGCTCAGGATCTGCTCGCCCCAGAGAGTGGCTGTGCACGGCGCGAAACTTCACAACGGCAACCGCTCGAGGCCTGGCGCTGTTCCCCTCTGCTGACCGCGCCCCACGATCGGAACAAGCGGCAACAGAACCGAGTAAAGGGAAAGAGAGGAGGGGGAAAGGGGAGAAAAGAAACAAGGAATGACCCGTACCCCGGAACTCTCGAAACCCTCGCGGACATGTGTTTTTGCCGCAAGACAGCTTTTGATGGACCCGAACGCGCCCTCCTGAGGCCAGAGCAGGGGCGGCAAACGACGCCCGATAACATAAGTGCCACACGCAGGCGTCAGACGCCCGACGCCTTCGCCCAGCGGATACTTCACAGACCATCCGATCGCAATTGAAGGCCAGACAGAATTATGGTACAGGCGCGTGACCCCAAAAAATCAAGATTAAGGAGAGCTAGCTGGCATGGCAACTGAGGCTTGGGCCCTACGATCATGCCGCCTCTGGCAACTGCTGAATCAACCGAAATCCCGGGCACCTTGCTTTTCGGTGTTACGCACGAGGTGCAGCCCAAGAGACAATTCTCACGCACCAACCGGCTTTGGGGTCAAATCGCACTGCCACTAAAAACGTGCCGCAAGCCTACCGTGAAACAAGGCTTTTCTCCGTTTCCCCAAAACATCCAACGCACGACACTACAAATCGCAACTTAGGTTCAACTCAACGTGACCCCAAGGCAAATTGCTCTCCAGATAATCGGGGACTGCCGGTCGTCGCAAGTACACTATTGTGCCAGTCCTCCACCTGAAGGTCCAAAGCACCTGAAACGAGACCACCGCGCAACAAGACCACAGCCAACACCCAGGGCAACAAAAGCGGGGGCCCTGCGGCTGATAGCCTGTGGTGGGCAGGAGGACCCCGTGGGCGGGACTCTGCAAGTAGTAGGCCGATGATCCCCACCAGCGACCACCCCCCGTGGGCCGTGGGCGGCAAGCTGTGGATGGGACCCCGTGGGCGACAAGCACCCGTGGAGATAAAGCTCGAGCTAAGCAGTGCGTCTTTCTCGCTGTGTTCGCTTCCCCTCGCTCTGTCTTCGTTCCGCCTTTGCTGCGAAACGTCATCATGGCCGAAAACCGAAGCCGCATCCGAACTCCGACGACAAGACAGCGGACACACGCCAGAGCGCAAGTGGACGCCCGAAATTGATACCGAAAAATGGGTACGATGCCCAACAACCAATGTTGTCCCAAACCAACAGCGGTCGCTGCTGGGAAGGCTGCCTTCTGTCTCAAATGGACACAGGCCGCGGCGGCGCGGACAGCGAGTCTTGTTCAAAATGAACGGGAACTTTTGGGCATCGTGCCCGTTTTTCTGTACAGTCGGGCTGCTAAAGAAGGAACGATAAACAAGGAACGACGCCCGGCCCCACAAGCGCCTGCGTGCACGAGGAAGGCTAGAGGAAAAGCCATAGAAGGACCTAAGGAATATTTCAGCGACTTGGCTGTACCCATTCCACTCGTGCTGAGCAAGCACACGGCAGCCTGGCACTCGCGTTCAAGGTTTCCATGCGGTCCGAGCGCGCTCCGCCGCCCGCGGCGTCCGTCGCTCCATCCCGACCTCCGTGCCCTGCCACTCGAGCGCAGCACGAATCAACACGTCGTGCGGACTGCTGGGCCAACTGTGCGAGGCCAACTTGTATACACCACCACCGCCCGCAACAGTAATTTTCCGCAAAAACGGTTAGGGGCAGGGTCATGCCAGACGACGCTGCGACGCCACGGCGACAAGGAGCGCGGCGCAGCTCGCAGGCGCCGTGGCATGGGGAGTTCCTGAAGCAGAAACAGCATTTCTTAGTGGTGGTGTATAAAAATCGCTCCCCTTGGTAACCAAACTTATATACACCACCACCGCGCGTGCTTTGATGAATTCTGTTTGGTCCTTAAGAGAGAGTGGGCAGCCCGGTTGCCGTTGACGGCGGGGGGGGGGACTGCGGGCTTTTCACCAGAGCAAAACTGCACCAAATCGCATAGTATATTATTCTCGATCATGGTGGTGGTAGTCAGATGCTGTTCTTAACTGGCTGGCCGAACGCGGCAGAAATCGTGTCGTGACGACCCGGGCCTTGGATTCTGACATCGCGGGGATCAGGTGGGGTCTGGTGCCGTCAGGCGCGGGCGCGCGCGCCTCACAGCAGGGTCCGGTGGCTCACGCCCTGTGGCGGCGTCTTCGCCCTGTGTGCTCTTGCCGCGCGCTGGGCGCAGCGGACTTTTCCCCCCTCGCCCTCCTCGCCCTCCTCCTCCTCCTCCTCCTCCTCCTCCTCCTCCTCCTCCTCCTCCTCCTCCTCCTCCTCCTCCCCCTCCCCCGCCCCCGCGCCCCCGCGACCTGCAACAAAATTACAGGGCGCGGGCAACGTACGGGCTCCCGCCTCGGCGCCGCTGCACTTATCCTTCGTGGGGCTTGCCGCGCATGGTTTGTTCGCGCACGCGGCGCCCCGGCCAAAACTGCCGCCATCACCATGACACGGCATTGTCGTGCTTTCCCTTTCTGGCGCGCTTCAGAGGCCGATTTTGCGCGGTCGTCGCCGTCATCTTTCCCCTTCCTCTTCCTCTTCCTCCTCTGTCGTTCTTTCCTTCCTTCCTCCTCCCGCTCCCCCTCTGCCCCGAATCGGCTGCCCGAAATTCGGCCACGTGCGCTGGACAGCGTCTATCCGCTGACTGCCTGCTGGGTCGGTTTTGCAACTCGGTCTGGGTCAGGGACATTTGTCCGCAAGTCTTCGTTGCTTTACGGTCGTCGTGATGGTCGATCGACCGAAGTTCCGCCCACGGCATGTGGCCCGAAGCAAAGGTGAGAGGGAATATTCAAACACAAAGAACAAACGGGTATCATTCAGCCTTGAACGATCGGCCGTTCCCGAAACGTCGGCTCGTTCAACATCGACCGATTCTGGGTCGGCAGCGGTGTTCAACGTTGAATGCTGGCGGCGGGGTCGCGGCTTGTCGGCACGACGCGAACCTGCTGTATGCAAACTACTCGGCCAGCTGGCTGGATAAATAGCGCACATGGCTAAGAGACGCATGAGGCGGCACCTTGTTAGAACTCAAGATCGCCTTCGACTTCTGGGCCTGCGACAGAAGCTTCCTGGCGTTCTCTTCCGCAGCTCTTTCTCTCAGCAGCTTCGCTGGCAAAACGAATCACCAAGCAGATCAAAATGCCACGCGATGTCGGTGGGGGAGAAGAGAAAACGTGAGGGTGTGGGAAGGAGAGGCGGAGTGGAAGGGGGCGAGGACGGGAGCGGACGAGGGAGGATGACGGGGAAAGAGATGGGAGGAGGGAGCGGTGGACGCTCTCGACAACCATTCTCCATCATGTGGCGAGCGAGGGGGGGAAATGAGAAGGCGAAGGCCTTCTCAGAAGGCGGCGGGGCTTCTCAGAAGCCTTCCGGCCTTCTGAAAGGTTTCCTGTGTCTTCGGGGGAGGCTTAGAGAACCTTCTCAAAAGGCTGGGGGACTTCGATTCTTCTGAGAAGGCTCGCCCCCTCTCACTTGCTCCCCAGGCTCGCCGACGAAGTCTGCCTGCTTGGACCGCCGATCGGCGCTTGTCGAGACCAGGTGCTCAAGACCTATGGCCCTCGAGTGCCGAATCCGCCATCGGACTGTGCCGCTGTTCGGTTTGCTTCCAAGCACCCAGCTTGTTCCTCGCCCTGCCCACTGCGGGACAACATTTGGGACCCCCCTGGCGCAATGAGGCCACCAAGCATCCGGATGGTTTCAGAACATCTCTGCGTTGATGGCCCTGCGAAATAAAATATCAAACGTGACAATCCACACGCAACGGCCAAGCTCCCTCTCCTCCTCTGGAGGCCTCCAGGGGTCCCGCGAGGGCAGCGGACATTCCCTGAGGCCGTGGAGACCAAAGGAGCCAAACGCAGAAAGCTCCAGATCCACCCCTCCTCATTGACGGCTTCATGACTTGTAATGTCCCTCCTTTTGCTCCCGCTGTATCTGTCACTATGTATACATACTAAGGGGTGTAGACATACACATCCACATATATATGTACTTGTATAGACATGGACATATGCATGTAGTCTGTGTGTATGTCTGTGCGTATGCATGCATGTATGTATGTATGTGTGTATGTATGTATGTATGCATACATGCATGCATGCATACATGCATGCATGCATGTAGTATGTGTGTATGCCTGTGCGTATGCATGCATGTATGTATGTGTGTATGTATGTATGTATGTATGCACGCATGCATGCATGCATGCATGCATGTACGTATGTCTGTCTGTCTGTCTGTCTGTCTGTCTGTCTGTCTGTCTGTCTGTCTCTCTGTCTGTCTGTCTGTATGTATGTATGTATGTCCGTCTGTCTGCCTGTCTGTCTGTCTGTATGTATGTATGTATGGATGTATGTATGTATTGACGGATGGCTGGATGGACGGATGGATGGATATATGCATGTTTGTTTGTTTGTATGTATGAATGTATGGCTGTATGTATGTATGTGTGTATGTATGCACGTATGCATGCACAGGTGCCATAATATTTGCTTCGACATGCTTAAAGGTGCATCAGCATGCGCACGCACACATCAAGGTATCACTGGCACGCGTCTTCGAATACATCGTTCTGCTCGCAAACGTGGGCTGGCCGTCAGCGTCGTCCAGGAACTTCTCGCCCTCCCAACATCCTCCTTCTCCTCCTCCTCCATCTCCTCCTCCTGATCTTGCCTCCTCCCCCTCCTCGCTCTCCTCTTTCTCTTCCCCCTCTTCCACCGCCGCCAGGACCGCGGGTCGCCCTCCGAGCCGCCCCCACCCGCAGGGGGTGGCGGCGGGCCGCCCGCTTCGCGTCCTCAGGGCGCGCGGGGACTTGTCTATGCCCTCCGCCGACTTCGGGAACTTCTCCTCGGGGGCTCTCGTCTGCTCTCCTGCCCTCCTGTCCTATCCTCCTCCTCCTCCTCCTCCTGCCCTATCCTGCTCCTCCCTCCTCCTCCTCCTCCTCCTCCTCCTCCTCCTCCTCCTCCTCCTCCTCCTCCTCCTCCTATCCTCCTCTTTCCCCACCCCGCCTCCGCCTCCTTTCCCCCCTGCTCCTCCTCCTCCTCCTCCAGCCTCCTCCCCTACTCGTCCGTCGGTCCGTCGGTCCGTCCGTCCGTCCGTCGGTCCTCTTTCCCCACCCCGCCTCCGCCTCCTTTCCCCCCTGCTCCTTGTCCTCCTTCCCCCCCCCCTCCTCGTCTATCAATCCCTCCCCCTTCTCGACCTTCCTTCCCCCCTCCTCGGGTGCTCCTCCTCCGGGATCAGATGCAGGACTATCCGTTTGGGGGCTCGGGACGAGCCGACGAGGGGGAACTCGACAGGGCACGAGAGCCCTCCCCCCACAAAACAAACGCCACATGCCCCAATGACCCCTTGATTCTCCCAGAAGCCCCGATAGGCTTCCAAAAGAGGCCCCCCAGAGGTCACCAAGAGGCTCCCAAAGGCTATCGAGACGCCCTCATAAGCCCTAAGATGCCCCCCAAACGACCGAACAAGGCTCCTTGACCGATGTTGGTTTCCCTCATGGACGCACGGGACTGAAACTCTTCTACAATAGCGCACCCTGGAAAAGCGACATCCAGGGCTCCCGAGGGGTCGGCGGTGCGGAGTAAGCCAAGCGGCTTCCCCGCCTCCTGGGACGTATAACTTTCCAAGAACGCCCCAACAGAAACCCAAAGACGGCCCCAAACCCCAACAACACGGCCCCCCGCGACCCGCAAGCGACCCGCCCTTGCGGCAACGGGCCCCTGCGACCCGTCCCCTGCGACCCTCCCATTTCGAGTCGGCACCGGCTACATCACAGATTTCCCCCCACATTGACGTTCCCGTCGAACCCATGCGGAAAATACGTAGACTAGCCAGCAGATCTACGGAGCATCGCAGGCACGTTTCGTAGAACTGTGCCGATAGTGCGTAGATCTACGGAGCATTGTAGGTTTGTCGGTATGTCTCGCAGACGATGAAGGGCAATCAATTTTGGGGGTGAATCGATTCCGTAGTCGATCCCCACTCGACCATTGCGACCCTCCCGCCCCGCTCGGCCAGCTCTGCCTCGCAGCGGGGCCACACCTGGCCTCGCCCAGCAGTGCCCAAGCCGGCTACTGCCAGCGGGAAGGCTTAGGTCGAGCATGCTCCCCTACAGGCGGATTCTGGACTAAAATTTACAACTATTAAATAAAACACAACAATTATCCAAAACGAGTCAGAAATCGTCCCCAGGCTATTTTCCTGCTTTATTGTTGAATATTCCTCCTGTAGAGGGACAGGCCCGACGTAAGTGAAGGCCTCATCGTCAGGGGTGAGGCGGGGGTCCTCGTCATCCGACGCCGCATGGCCCGGTGCGGCCAGGCGTGGAAGGCCATCGTTCAAGTGGGGGATCGACTGCAGAGCCGCCGACTTCCCCAAAGTTGAAATGTCCTCCGAATCTACAGTTAGCTCGGGCATGTCCCCCTACAGGCGGGTCTTGGGAGAACAAAAGAAATACTCAAACATATTCCCAACTTGTCAATAAATACAAAAAAATCGTCCCTCGACTATTTGTTATACTATTTCTGAATATTCCTCCTGTAGAAGGGGCAGGCCCGACTTAAAACTACGGAGACATGCTTCGAACGGATGCAGATCGACGGACACTCGGCGCACTTCTTCGCAGAGTCGACGAACAGATCCATTTGGGGAGATCCATGCTGTCGTCGATCTCCTACTCGAATCCTGGACTTATGTTGCCCCCATCGTACTCAAGGGCCACATCCCAGAAACTATTTCGTGCACCCAGAAAAATTTCGAAAGAGTGTCGAAACAGTGTCGGACGAGTATCTCCCAGGGCCCGACACGTGAAAACCCTCGAGCTTCGGTACTTTTCTGGTGCTCGAAACTCTCTCTCGTGATCAAGGCTGCAGTGGGTCGGAACATCATAATCCTAGACGTCGGACCTCGCCTCCAGCTCTGGGGAAACCAAAAGGTACCGATACTGCTCCTCCCCGGACCTCTCCCGAGGTGCGTTCTGACCAGGATTTCGAGGCGAATCCAGCGGTGGCGACGAGGAATGCCCAGGAGGCCCAACACGGGGAAGACGAGGGAAGGGTAGAGGTATGGGTACCTCTTCCTCCTCTGAAGCTCGGGCCCCCGGGCGATCAGCGCTACCGCGCAGCCCCAGCGAGAGAGGCCCTGGACGGCCGCCCTCTCACGGACCACCCCTCCACCCGTGGGCGCCCCTGGGGGCCGCCCTGCCCCTCGGGGCGGTCCCGGCACCAGCGCGTGGCCGAGCGGCGGGCCGTCGCGCGGGGGGCGACGTCAGCTCCGACGCCCCTCCTCGGGGATCTTCTGACCCGGGTCAATCTCCAGAGCCGGGCCAGTCAGGCCTTGCAAGATCCCGCAGAATCCTGCAAGATCCTGCACCCGAACCCGGGTCAATGCGAAGGATCCTGCAAGATCCTGCAGGATCCTGCACCCAGACACGGGTCAATGCGACCCTGGCCCTGCAGGATCCTGCAAGATCGGGCGCTCTGGCTGACCCCCGTCTGCATTGACCCCCGTCTCAAGGCTCCCGACTTCTGGGCCTCGACCCCCCTGCGTCTGGGCCGCGCGGGAGGGACAGGAGGAGACGAAGCCAGGACGAGAGTAAAATCGAGTGAGGACGAATCGAGCATCTCCGAACTCTGGCAGATCTGGAGAATGTCTCGGGCGCCGCGGCCTTGTCAGAGCGTTCGGGAGCGCTCTGAAAGCGATCCGGAACGCTTTGAGCGGACTTACCCTCGTCCTCACCCCGTCCGACTCTGCGTCCAGGCCGCGCGGGAGGGAGAAGCAGGATCTGGGCGGTGGCGCTGGCAGGCGCTCCGCGCTCGCCTGCCGATATGAGCGCTGCGATGGGCGGCAGAGGCGACTCTGGCGGCCAACACCGTGTGGCACCCCGATGAATGGAGGCCCTTCCTCCTGAGAGAGGGGCTCGAGGCGCGCTCGAGCCAACCGAGCTTGAACACGCCCTTCTCTCTCCCTCTCTCTCTCTATCCACCAGCAAGCAAGCAATCATTCAATGGCGCAGTGTCTGCACGACAGATTGGCTGAACCAGTGCCACTGGCTAAAGGAGCGTGTCCACCATGGCACAGAGAAACGACAGTTCAGACTCGAACATCCCAGCGACCGGCTGCAGGATCTTTTGAAAGTTATGAGATACGCTGGGATAAACCAGAGGAGGAGTAAGAAGAGGCGGAGAGGGAGGATCTGACTGCAGCCCTCGAACATGAAGACAAATTCACACTTCGCAGCGCCCCAAGGATGGCGAGGTGCCGTTTGGGTCTGCGTAGTGCACCACTGTGCTGGCCCCGCCCAGCAGCCGTTGAAAACGGCGACAATTTCACACTTTGCACCCACCCAAGGATGGCGAGGTTCCGTTTGGGTCTGCGTGGGACCCTACTGTGCTGGCCCCGCCGAGCAGCCACGAAAGTGGCGACAACGTCACACTTCGCAACCTCCCAGGGATGGCGAGGCCACGTTTGGGTCTGCGTGGGACACCACTGTGCTGGCCCCGCCCAGAAGCCCTCGAAAGAGGCGACAATTTCACACTTCGCAGCCCGCCAAGGATGGCGAGGTATCGTCTGGGTCTGCGTGGGACACCACTGTGCTGACCCCGCCCAGCAGGCCTCGAAAGTGGCGACAATGTCACACTTCGCAGCGCCCCAGGGATGGCGAGGTGCCGTTTGGGTCTGCGTGAGACCCCAATTTGCTGCCCCCGCAGCAGCCCTCGAAAATGGCGACACTTCCAAAATTTGCACACACACACACACACACACACACACACACACCCCAGGGATGGCGAGGTTCCGTTTGGGTCTGCGTGATGACCCACTGTGCTGGCTCCCCCAGCTGCCCTCCAAAGTGGCGACAATTTCACACTTCGAAGCGCCCCAGAGATGGCGAAGCCACGTTTGGGTCTGCGTGGGACCCCACCGTGCTGGCCCCGCCCAGAAGCACTCGAAAAAGGCAGCAACTCACACTTCGCAACGCCGCCCCAAGGATGGCGAGGTCCCTTTTGGGTCTGCATGGGATCCCACTGTGCTGGCCCCGCCCAGCAGCCCTCGAATGCGGCGACAATTTCACACTTCGCAGCGCCCCAGGGATGGCGGGTCTGCGTGATACCCCACTGTGCTGCCCCCCCCCCAGCAGCCATCGAAAGTGGCGAAAGTTTCAAACTTCGCAGAGCCCCAGGGATGGCGAGGCCACGCTTGGGTCTGCATGGGATCCCACTGTGCTGGCCCCGCCCAGCACCCTCCTCGAAAATGACGACATTTTCACATTTCGCTAACCCTCTCGGGATGGCGAGGTGCCGTTTGGGACTGCATGGGACCCCACTGTGCTGCCCCCCCCCCCCCAGCAGCCCTTGACAATAGCGAAAATTTCACACCTCGCAGCCCCCCCCCAGGGATGGCGAGGCCACGTTTGGATCTGCGTGGGGCTCCACCGTGCTGGCCCCCCCAGCTGCCAGGCGAGCGGGCCCCCCAGCAAGCATGTGCAGGCAGGCGCAGGCAGGCGACAAAGGGGACAGAGGGCGGAAGGAGAAGGAGAAGGGAGTCGGCACCCCACTTCTCTATTCAAAATGAGAACCCAACCAATGGAGGGTTGGGAAGACAAGTACAGCGCACGTTGTGACAACATCTGGACAGTCTCCTGCCAACGCAGACACCTGGCATCCCTTCTGAGATTGAGACTCTAAGATTTAAGTGCATGTCGAGATTGGGTATCTAAGGTGTAAGTGCATGTCCAAATTGAGCCGACAAGGCTTAAGTGCATGTCAGTATTGGTCCCCAAAGTTTTAAGTGCATGTCAAGTTTGAATATCTAGAGAATAAAGGAACGTCAATATTGGGTCTCTAAGG